TACCAACAAAGAAATTAACTATTGTTCAAATTGACTTTAACTTAAGCGAACAATTTATTTTTAAATATTTTTTAAAATTACTATTTTTTTGTTGTTAAAATTTTGCCTTAACATGTTAAATATTTCAATATGTTTAAAATATTCAAATAGTTTTGATTTTTAACAAAAATTTTAATAATATTTATAATAATTTTGTTATTATTAATAATTCAATCTTAATTTAGCGAATTTCAATTTGACAGTAATTAGTTGTGAAATGAGAAATTGAGTTTGAAATGTTTAGAAAAATATTAATAACATTGTCAAAATAAATAAAAAAAAAAAAAATAACAGTAAAAAAGATAGTTTATAGAATTAGTGTCTAATACACCTAGTGAGTTACTATAATTTATTTCACTATATACATACACTAATCGTCGTGTTCTTCCGGTTGTTCATCGTGCGACGAACCTTGGATACGTTTGTCATGATAATAAAGATTATAAGTCGATGACCGTTGCAATTTTGTGAATATATTTTTTTATCTCAATAGAATCGAAAGTAATTGAATTTTATAATTCTTTATTATATTTATATTTTTAATTGTTTCATTGATGAGCCATATTTGATTTTCTATTAAGTACATAATATAATTTTTTTAAATTAATTTTGAAATTATTATATTTCGAATTAAATTAAATATATTCATTAATATTGAATTAATAATTAATTAAATAAAAATAGTTGCAATAATAATTTATGTGTGAATATCTGCTGTTAATAATGATATGGTTCTGTAAAATTAATATAAATTTGTATTAATAGTAGAGAATCAATTTAAAAAGAGTGATTGTTCATTTTAAAATGATTAATCTTTTTTTAGAATGATCAATTTTTTTTTTTAATTCTCGTAGAATCATTTATGAGAATACACTTACATATATATATATATATATATGTTTTCTATTATAAGCTTAATGTAAAAATAAGTTTGAAAGTCATACTTCCTGGTTCTGATTGAAGAATAAATTCATTATTAGTTTTACTTTGTTTGCAAATGACTATATAAATGTTTGAAATATTCAAAAAATGCTATATTATAATGCATATGGTATGAAACGTGCAATATTGTCATTATGTCAACAAATTTTAATTTTTCACACGGCATGAACAATGAATATAAGACCATATGGAAAAATTAAAAATTATACATAAATGTCAAATACATATAATTATATTCATGATTTAATTAATTTACTATTGTATATGAAAAATTTTATTATAAAATTTTTGGAAAACTAAAATTCTAAATTTATATAATATATCTGACACAACTTTCTCTGAAATTGCGATAAATCCAAAGTTGATTTCAATAATTATAATTACTGAAATTATATAATAATTAATTCTAAGACCAGTAGATATATATGTTAATATTTATATTCTATTTTTTTTTAAAACTGATGTAAAATGTTGCAGAATAAATTTTTGAAGCATATATATAGGTATATAAAAATAAACTTTTACTGATGATTTTAATGATATATGAATTATATATCTGATGAAAACAAAAGGTCTAAAGGTCAGTGGATACTGTTTTTTTTATATACATATCTTTATTGCTAAAAATAACTTCATATAACTTGTTTTCAAAAAAAGGTTCAAGGGTTGTGCAAGTGACAAATGTGCCAGTCTACATAATCACCAAACTTTCTCCGCGGGCCACGAGATTCAAATGTTATTTTTGTCTCACGTTCTCTTATCTCGATCAACCTATACAATTATTTTTAATGCCATTTAATTTTGGTAGATGTCGCCATTAAATATATATAAAAAAAAGAATAATATTTTTGCAAATCATTTCACCCAAAAAATAGGAAAATTATAAAATATATATCACTAACAGAAATTTAAATAAATATAATTGCGATATTTTTAAAGAAATCTCTCAAATTTTATTTTAAAAATAATAACTGAAAATAATTCAATTTACTTGGAGCCAAAAAAAAAAAAAAAAAAAAAAAAAAAAAAATATAAGAAATGAAACATTAATGAATATATTTTTATGGTTTCGGTTAATTTCAGAAGCATCACTTTACCTTTCCATTGTTGACAGAATGATGGAAAGACGTTGAGACCTTGGCCAAAATTGTCCGGAAGTAACGGAAGCTGTTAGATTGAAAGCTCATTCAAAATGTTCCATTTTCTCAAGTGTTTAAGACATGAAACGATATTTTTGTACTCGACCTGATGAGTTTCGTTGAACCAGATTAAATGAATGTAATCCGGCACATATGTGTCCTGAAACAAGTGCGCCCCTTTCCATTGCGGTTTAGTTATACCGTTTACTCTTCTCAGAAAATAAATAGGCATCGCCATATAAACCTATATATATATCACATAGATTAGGTAGTGCCAAGAATTATAAATGGCCGAACAAACAATCGACAGAAAGATTTCGGCGCGATTTTTAAAATTGACCAATTAGAAATAGTAGTTATCAAGAAAATCGAGATTGGTCAACCCACTTGGAAAGATTCCCCCGGAAAGTGCCCCCTGGAGGTTCTATCAGAATTCCGCCGGAACTTCCAACGTAATTCCGTCGGAATTCCATCTAAGTTCCAAAGAATTTCCGATGGGATTCCAACGTATTAGGACCCCAGGTGGAAAAGTTGCCGGTAGTGACTACCGGTAGTCATTACCGCTCCCGCTACCGGAATATTCACTACCGGTAGTCACTACTGGTAATTTTTCCAAGATTACCGGTAGCCACTACCGGTAATTTTTCCGGGACTACCGGTAGTCACTACCGGTAATTCTTCTAGTACTACCGGTAGTTACTACCGGTAATTTTTTCGGTACTACCGGTAGTCACTACCGGTAATTTTTCGTTACTACCGGTAGTTACTACCGGTAATTTTTCCGGTACTACCGGTAGTCACTACCGGTAATTTTTCGTTACTACCGGTAGTTACTATCGGTAATTTTTCCGGGACTACCGGTAGTCATTACTGGTCATTTTTCCGGGAATTACAATCAAAATTTATGGCCAAATAACAAATTTTGATTGTAATTCCCGGAAAAATTACCGATAATGACTAACGGTAGTCCCGGAAAAATTACCGATGTTGACTACCGGTAGTACCGGAAATATTACCGGTAGTACCGGAAATATTACCGGTAGTACCGGAAGAATTACCGGTAGTGACTACCGGTAGTCCCGGAAAAATTACAGGTAGTAGCTACCGGTAGCCCCGGAAAAATTACCGGTAGTTGCTACCGGTAATCTTGGAAAAATTACCGGTAGTGACTTCCGGTAGTGAATATTCCGACAGCGGGAGAGGTAAAGACTACCGGTAGTCACTACCGGCAACTTTTCCACCTGGGACTCTAAAAATTTTGAAAAAAAATTAATTCGATTCTAATTCTAATAGAACCTCCAGGGCGGGGCACTTTCCGAGGAATCTTTCCAAGTGGGAATTTTTAAAATTTCACCAAAATATTTCTGCCGATTGTTTGTATGGCTATTTATAATTTCGGACAAATGAAAATTCGGTGTTTTAAAAATTCTACCAATTAAAAAATTTTTTTTGACCTCTATATTGGATCCGCCATTTTGAATTTTGAAAATCTGACATCAATTTCATAATCAGCGACCCCGAAAATTCTGAGATACTAAGTTTTATAAAATATTTATGATTTTTAAAAGATATCTTGTCACTTTTTATTTAGAGGTTGTTTTCACCCCTAAAAACCACAAACGACTTGATCTAGTAAAACGGCAAGACACGGGTATTTTTTTTTTTTTTGGTCCTAATTTCCGAAAATGTTTGATTTTTTTGTGGGTCCAAGAAAAGTTGAATTTTGTTGAACATCTCAACGAAAATATTTCCTATAATAATTATATATATATGAATACCAGAATGTCTCTCGTGAGTCAATGTCGATTAATATAATATATAAAGGAATTCGCCAAGGTTTTTCAGTTCCTTTCATTGGCATCACACTATATATATATATATATATATTTCATTTTTTTTTATTATACACAGTACATACAAAAAAATAAATAATTCTTTTCACACGCAACCATTTGACACTTCACATTTAAATTGAATCCTACTATTGTTAGAACAACAGAAAATGGTATAAAAAATGATTTCTTTATATACTTTTAATTTTTCCAATAAATATACCAATAATAAAAAATTGTAATAATGAAGCTTTTATTCTTGGAAATACAATAAAGTTAAGCGTGATGGAAATGTGGGTCAGTTTTTAGAAATATTGACATATCTGTCAATATAGTTGAGCTGCATATTGACGATAAGATTTCCATATGCATTTCTCTTATAGTTTGATTGCCTCATTGAAGCTATTTTACGAGCTTACTAATCTCCCCCCAGTGTGTTGCAGTTTTTGGAATTTTAGCCTTGAAAATCATTTAAATAAATTGGGTTTTCGAAGAGACTAAGTGCAGACATTGCTTCATTTAGGTCAGCTTGAAAATTGTAATTGGTTCTTTGCGCGACAAAATCTGGAACGCGCACTCTGATGCCACGAGGACGAGCTATCTTTGTTATTACATTCGTAAAATAAATATCTCACGTTTTTCTCTTTTTTACTTTCTTTTTATGTTATATATCTCAATGCAAACACGACATGACTTTATAGAATCTTTACATGCCTTCACAATATGACACTGATTTTATGGACCTTCCTTCATCAACGAAGGACTGTCTTCTATTTCTTCTTTTTCTTCTTCTTTTTTTATTTACAATTTTCTCCAATGACACCAATGATCCTTTTGAATTTGTAAGAAAAATTTCATACTTAATATAAATAAATAATAGTAAGAAAAAAAAATTTTATTAGATTAGAAACGTATTTTTTATTCTCGCGGAAGTAATTTTTGTGCAACAAGAGACAGCTATTAGTTAATTTTCTAGTATAATTAAGTAACAATAATTAAATATTTTTCCTGAAGCTATAAATAAAGAAATGTTTTCTTTGTTTTACAGAACCAAAAAGGAAAAGGTTGAAGAAAGAGGAAATAATGTTGGAACAAAGTGTTTATTTTTCCTTGAACTTCAATGTTATAATCAGTAACGATATTTGATTGGATTCAAATCATTATTATTGAGGAGGTAAAAAAAAAGCCTCCGATTTTCACGTGCTCGACGTTACACCGACGAGTGATTGGTGAGTGACATTTAAAATTATTATTGCTATCATTTTATATATAAATACGTCTGAGAAAAGGAAGTGATCAACTATGTAGATTAAATTTGATCAAATTATATATATATATATGAAACACAATGGTGCGTAAAAAGAAGCGGAAACAGAATTTTGATAAGAAAAGACAGAGTGTGCTTGACTTTTTTTTTTTTATAAAATCAATAAATAAATTTTCCTTTAACAAAATTTTTACATTATCAAATTTTTGTCTAAATATGCCGGATGTTTATTTTAAAAAGAATTCGATGATTTCAAAATAAAAATTTTGTTAAAGATATAATTTGGCTAAATAAAAATTCAAATTTGGTTTTCCATCTTTTATTAAAAATAAAAAATAATACTAATGGATAACTTGGTGTTAACTTGCACAATACTTTAGAAATTGTTTTTCGTTTTTTATTATTTGGCTGCGCGCGACGTTATCCATGTGATAGTCAGTGATGCCAACGTAATTCAGAAAGTTTAGGTTATGTTTATCATATTTATTTCACAATTTATATTGGTATGATTGAGTGGGAAATAAGAAACGTCGCGCGCAGCCATAACAGCTAATTAAAATAATTAAAAAGGAAAAATAATTTTTTTTTTAGATATGAAAACTGGAAAAATAAGGAATATTTTGAACTTTAAAACATTTAATCTTATATTGTTCATTAAAAGTGAATGTATCTTTTATTTAATTTATTTTTTTTTTAAATTGTTTTTACTCAAAAAAAAAAGTTATAAAAAACTTGTGGAATGGTACATTTCTAATTAATAATCTATAAATATAATTAAAAAATAATAATTAATCACAAATTATTTTTTTTTGTATTGTGATTAATTGTCTCTTTTTTTTAAATTTTAAATTTCGAGTTTCGAAAATAATTTAACAATGTATAATTTATATGCATTATTGATCCGACGAATTTATACAAAGGCTATACGCACGTAACGGAATATCTTCACAGGTCATATGAATGGAAAAAAAAGATGTAATCATAATGTCGCGCAGAGAGTATGTGCTTTGGAAAGTTCCTGTGTCTCATTTTTTTTTTATCGATTAATATAGGAAAGCTTGCACAAATATAAGTGGAATAAAAATTCCACCTGACGATTTTATTAGCTCAGTCTTAGGCAATTCTCTATTTAATCTATCGTTACTAAACATGAGCCAAGATTATTCATTTCCTATATTAACTTTTGAACATATATAAATAATTATTTGAATTATACTATATATTATTTACTAATGAAATATTGTTACAATTTGATTTTGGACATGAGAATTTGGCAATGCTCCCAATTGACTATACAGAGGAGAGCTGGTTATAATTTTATTAAATCATTACTGTCATTGTCTGTAGTTCGTTGTCCGTATACCGGTAATTTGAGTAACGTCACGTCTGGCCAGCCGGATGTATCCGGTATAATCACAACACACGTTTAAAGTTAAATTTTTTTTTTTTTTTTTTTTAAGAGTACCGAATCTGGTATAATGAACTTTAAAATTTAAATTTTGTTTTTAACTTGTGGATGATAAGCAGAAAAAAATGATTTAATTCAAATAATTTTTGTAACTTTGTTATTTTTCATTAAATATTTACAAATTATTATTCACACCTCTGCCGTGCAAAACTGAAATACCGTAACTTGTTTTTTTACTTAGGTTATGTTGCCCATATTATGTTTCTTTAAAAAAAAAATATATATATAAAGATTAAAATTATGGAAAATTTGAATTTGATAGAAATAATTATTATTATCTTCCGCGGATCAAATTTTCTATATAATTTTAATCTTTATATTTTTTTAAAAGAATATAAGAAACATAATGGGCAACATAACCTATAAATAAAAAAAACAAATTACGGTATTTCAGTTTTGCACGGCAGAAGTGTATATTGAATAATTAATTAATAAAAATAAATATATTAAAAAAATAGATTTTTATTAAAATTGAAATTATTTTTCAATTAATTATTTCTACTGCAAAATGAACATATTATTTCTTTTTCAAAAATTTCGAATTTTGTTTATTAAACCTGAAACAACAAATTTAAATAATAATTTAAATAATAATATTTATGCATACAATGATAATAATAATTATTAATTGTTTCCTGAAATATTGTTTTTAATATTGATTTTTAAAATAAAATTAAATCATTGCACTGAAAAAAAAATTTATTTGATTCAAATAATGGATTACTTGACTATTATCAAAAAATTATTATTTGAATCAATTAAATGGTATTTATTTCAAATACAGAAATTATATTAGTTCAAATAAAATTTATTTAATTCAAATAAAAATTATTTGATTGAAGTAAATATTTAAATTTGATAATAGTATGATGACTATATAAAAATGCGAGTCATTGTTTTTTCTAATTTTTCCGTAAATTTAGATGGAATTTTTGTGACGATATATCATCGTATATGTGTTCTTAGTAAGAACATAAGAGAGAGAGAGAAAAAAAAGTAGGTTGGGTATATAATTGAAAGCCATGCACGATAATCTGCTTTGGGATCTGCGACACCTGCGCGATTTAATTTGTACGCGGTATAACAATAGATAATAATCTGCAATATCAACCGCATTTATATTGGCAATCAATAATAATATTTATTTACAAGTTTAATATGCAATGGCGTCAGAAATAGAATGCAATATAAATTAAAATACAACTCATTTTCATGATATCTTCTACTTATTTGTTCCCCTGAATTGACGTTTCTTTTTCAGTATTGATTTGCATGTTTAAATTATTTATATGCGAAAAATTGTTTCTGATCTTAAATTAATTTTGCCAACGAAATATATATGCTACCAAAGTTATTATTTATATATTGTCAGTAATCTAATTTAGTTAATTAATTATCCCAGATAGTACGTAAGCTTGCATCAACCTTGCGGCAAGTTTCAAATGTCCCACCTGACCCAAGCTTGTATGGTAAGCTTACCGAAAGATTGCAATGTAAGGTTACTTCAAGATTGCATAATAAGATTATTGCAAGATTGCTCAGTAAGTTTGCACGGTAAGCTTGCAGCAAGATTGGTGCAAGGTTGCCAAATAACCTTGCTTTGAATCTAAAAAATTTCTTTTTTTAATGTTTCGTTTATATAATTTTATTATATAAATTTAGACGAAACATTTTTAAAAAAATTTTTTATGTTTAAAGCAAGGTTATTTGGCAACCTTGCACCAACCTTGCTACAAGCTTACCGTGCAAGCTTTCTTAGCAATCTTGCAGTAATCTTACCCTGCAATCTTTCGGTAAGCTTATACCATACGAGCTTCGGTCAGGTGGGACATTTGAAGCTTGCAGTAAGCTTGTGGCTAGTTTACCGTGCAAGGTTGGCAATATTTTTGGCAAGCTTGCCGCAAAGTTGCTGCAAGCTTACGTGCTATCTGGGATATGACAATAAATTATAAATAATTTAAATTGAAAAAAATTACCAAAATTTATTATAAAAAATTAAATTTTCTTGATTTTTAATGATAATTTGTTCTTTTTTTGTTAATATTAAAAATAAATGTCAATACTTGTAAAAATTATTTTCGGAAAATAATTTCCTCTTTGGCGTATAGTAAAAAAAAAAAACCTATTTTAAGTTTTATTTCTCGAAATTACATTTTTTTTTGTTGCTTTTATTTAATTATAAATGTTTATTATTATACATAAAATGTGCAATGTAATTTCTATTGAAACATTGTTTCTTAGAAAATATGGATGTGAAAATAAATAATTTATATATATTAATTAATTTAGGTCACTGAATAATTTCTGTGTCAATTATATTTGGTCTTTTTTCTCCTTCATATTATAAAGATCACAGATATCCCCGATATTTATAAGGCGTAATAATTAATTTTTAACACACGACTGATGTCTTATTAAAGGTGCTTAATGTCAAGAATCCTTTCATTAATCACACAAAATGAATATAACTTATTTCTAATAGCTTGATTCTTTACATAAAAAGGAAAAAAAAAAGTACAACATTTATTTTAGTTCATTTGCATTTCTCAAGCAAGTCACTTCCCTGAAATTGAAAATAAATTTAATTTTTATTGTTTTGTAGAATAGTAAATTTAAATATTTAGAAAAAAAAGAATATAAATATGGGAAAATTCGCAGAAAATTTGGTACAAATAAAAGCTAATGGATTACCTATATATGTATATATTTTAATATGATGTATGCGTTTATTTTGTATAAATATTTAATTTATGATTCCGTGATTTTAGAAAAAAAAAGTTACCTGACAGGTGTCTTGAATTAAAAACAACTCTTGTCTTTATTCAATTTAGTAACAATTAAAAAAAAAAAATTTTTTTTAAAAACCATACTTAAAATTAAAATAATTGAAAATTAATTAGAAATTAAATAAAATCATTTGGAAATTTATAAAGGTAAAGTAAAATGAAGCAACAGTAAAAATAAAATTGTAAAAACACACCTCCACTTAAAATGTTAATAGAAATGAATTGTAAATATTTTCATCAGTGCTTATATCAGTCTTGATGTAGATTTTATTTTTAAAAATGACCTCCACTCGAGTTTTCTCTTTTTGAAAGGCTTAAAAATTGACATTAAAAAAAAGCTGTATTTTCCACTTTTATCCAGATTTTTAAAAACAAAACTTTTTTTTTTATATAAACCAAATATTGATCTAAAACTGCATCTGATGGCACTTAAATATTACAATAATTCATAAAAATATGGAATAAACGGTTTTGGTAATGAAAATTATTATTTATCGTATAAAACTTTATATAAGACTCTTTTCATTATTAAAAAATTTTGTCCTTATTCGTTTGCCTTATGATATAGTAATATTTTATTTTTTCATTATTAAATTATGTTTCTTTTGAATTAATAAATTTAATTATTTAATCATTTTGGAAGTGTATTTCGAATTTTTAATAAATTCATAATGTTTTGAAATTCTAGTTATAGAATATAAATCAAAG